TAAAAATTGGCTGGAGAAGGCACCAGCTTGTAGACTTGGAAGCCAGAAATCCATTAGCAACAATGAGAGACTAATCTATTAAAAAAGCACTTACCCAAGCTCACTATGTGACTGCAGGAAATTCAAGAGTGCATACGGCAACCAGCGCCTTTATGAACTGACCCCGTGGTCCACATGGGGCCACGGGGCTGGGAGGGAGTCACTGGAATGTCAGTGAGACACCAAACACCTCCTTCCTCCAGCATATCGCAGCTCAGAGCACTTCCAGGTCTGCAAAACTGCAGTGCAAGTAGAGAGGCCACCCAGGAAAAGCTGCATTCACATAAACCCTGAGAGCAGATCAGTAAGGGCAGGCAGAGAGTCTTTAAATTAAGGTAGATATTTTACCTTTTAGGAGAAATGTGGCCCAATTTTGTCAAGTCAAAGGCAGCAACCATTTGTAGCAGAGTTCAGCAGTACACATCACAGCTTGACATGCCATTCACATCCCAAAACATCCCTACCCAAGGGTTATCACCATCTCATTTAGAGACAGGAACAAAAAGCAGGAAGAGGCTAGCGATGACATGAGGTGTTAATTCTTTACAAAGCTAGGGATGACACAAGGTGTTAATTTTTTACCAACAGTCATTATCCCTCACCACAAGAAAAACAATTGTGGTTTTCCAATAAAAGGCTTTAACGGTTCCAGCCATCCCCATAGCCCCTAACAACCAGGGCTCCAGCTCCTGCTCTGCACCACTTTGCACATAGGCCAAGGAACTGCTTTTTCAAGGCTTCTTTTTAAGCCAGGCGGTTCCCTGGTGTGCTTCCGAGCTGGCAGTTTGTGGAGCACCAGGTGCGCAGGGAGCCCATGCCGCTGCTGACTCCGCAGCAGGGAAACTGCCCTTGCGCTGCGGTCCAGGAGCTCCAACCCTTCCCCAAGGGACAGGGAGCAGCAGGCGGAGTGGAAGCCAAGACTCTACCCCTTCGAGCACAGCACCAGGAGGGTCTTGTTTTGAAAAGCTATTCCAGGTGAAAGACAGGACTCTCAGGAGACATGGGATTCTTCTCAGATCTGTTTTTAAGTCTTAAAAGTTTTATTTTCCCTTTGTTGATCTGTTCTTTCTCTTGGGATGGAACTGAGAGCTAACCTGAGGGATTCAACCTGAGTTTATATTCTGTTCAATTAAAACTCAGGTACTGTGTGCCCAGGCAAACAGTGAATGGTGTAAAGCTGGCTTAACTGATGTTAAAATATTTATAATGCTGTTAAGGTATAGTCATGATGCCCAAAGAGCCAACACATTCCACAGTTTTGTTTGGCACTTGCTCTCAGAGTTTTGTCATCTTGAGCAACTGAAAATATTTTACTATATTTGTAGGTGATAAAGAAAAGCCTTTCCTTTACCCAGTATATATGATTTTGGTAGTTGTTTTTTTACTTTGTTCATTTATCTCTCATGAAGCCCAGAGTTGTCGTTCTCTATTCATTCTTCCAACATTGAAATCTGGAGTTCCTTTGAAATTTACTTTGGCATCTACGTCCTCGAGCAAGCACCTTAAAGCTGAAAGTGGAACCCCACTCCAGACTCAACTCATAAATTCAGATATTGGTTTCTAGGAACAAAGATTTAGTTAAAAAAAAAAAAAAAGAAAAACAGAAACAGAAAAACAAGACGCTAAAGTTACAACAGAGCCTACAAAATCTAGGTTAGCTTTCATACTATCAATTCAATTATTTGAGTTAGATAGACATTCAGTTACACAGTTCTTCTATTCAAGTCATTCCTTACAGCTGATAGCAACTGAGGGAGGAACAAAAATTTTAGGAAATGCTTGGGAAATAACAATTATTCCCTAAGTCACTGGCACTGAAAATAGGTCTGAAACTGTTACTGGGCATTTGCAGTTATTCCAAAGATTGGTATAAAAACCAACTCCACACCATCTTATAGTTCTAGGCTTTTTTAAAAAGAAAAACAAAACAATCCCCCAAATACGTAATATTTTGTCCCACTATGGTTAAGGCACTGGATTGAGAGAAGGAAAATCTGGGTTCAATTTCTGGTTCTGCAATCAGTTTTGACAGAGTCGTAGGCAAATCACTGCAGCCTGGGAGCTCACGCTGCACCGCATCACTGTGCATCGGATGAGCCACACCAGGAGTCTGTTTGCACATGTCTAGCACACGGCAAACACTAGGGAATGTCAGTTAATTTAACTGGTATGAAATCATCCTAAATTGCTTTACCTTGCACTTGTTGTGGACTAGCAGCATGTAGAGATAAAATTACTTTATGCCACAAGAGAAACCTGAGGGTAAGTCAGAGTCTCTAAAGTCAACATCATATTTAAATGTAAAATGCATATGTTTCTAATTTATGCATATATTTCAATCATTAATCCACAAAATCATAGCAATTATTCCTTTCTTGTCTTAACTTTATGTTTGCATTGTAACCTGTTGAAGATGGGAACTTCCTGGTATGTTTTCATCACAGCTCATGCACAGGGCACTGAGCCTCAGCTGAGGGGTTTAAGCACCTCTGTAATACAAACAGATCCTACTTTCATTATCAAAATCTGCATGAACTGCAATTCGTTTCTTAGTGGAGAAGTGCACTAACTCAACTGCTGGATTGCAGTCCCATCAAAGAATGTAAAGAAGGGCTGGCCCCCAAAAAAGAATCATAATTATACACTGGTATGCCACTTAAAAACATGAAAAACAGAGCTGGGCGAGCTTGCAGCTCAGGGCACATTAAGTTATTTCCCTTTGGACTCTGAACTTGAGGCCAAGTTTTCTGTTTGGACCTGTTTAATATGCTAGGAGAGGCAGGTATTTTGCAAAGCAGAGAACATAAAGAATTTGTATGCAGATTAATTTCCTATTAAAAAATGAATAATGTGCCCCCTCCCAAAAGATAAGGGCTCTTAAAGCACAGCACTGCTAAAGACCTGTTTTCTTACACTGTTGGCAGGAGCCTGCACCGCTCACTGTGTTGGTGCAAATCTCTCCCATTTACACTGGACAATCCAGAACTGTCATTTTGGGATTGTTACATTACTGTCTATTTGTGTCCCTGTCCACTAGACTGAGAAGAAAGCAGCTTAAATTCCATTTGTTCCTGCCAACTTAGTAAGCATTTTCTTTGACAAACAAAATGCCCAGATAGTGTTGTAGAAGGTTTCCTTTTCATCTCAAGGCTTTTCATTGGCATCATCAGGTCAAGTTCTACAGTATTCAAAAAAATTTAATTCCCACATTCATCCTGCTAGTAACACTGAAGTCAGCAGAGCTAAAACCAAGATGAAAGTGTCTTTTTTTTTTTTTTTTTTTTTCCCTGGGCTTGGCACTTGGAATTGAATTTTGACTAATGCAATCTCTTCAAATGCATATAGAAACAGTGGAAGGAACAACTTCCTATAACCTTTTTACGTAAAGCTCCTCTCTCCTCCCATCCTAGGTTCAATGATATAGCAATTCCTACAAAGGCAATGCAAAACTCTTCTCAGACCCTTCTCAGGGTACAGTTTCAATTTCAGAACCATTTTCCTGTTGGCTTACTCCTGATGTCTTAAACACAGTTATCAGTAAGTCAGCGTGGCTGCAGTTGCCTTTGCCAAACCTGATGAGCTGTTCTGCTGACTGGAAACCTGCTCTATCTTGACTTACTCCCATCAGGTGCAAGTCTTGGCAGCTTACAGGATTGTCTGGTCCTGGTCTAGATTAGTAAGGTATTTTAAAATGTTTGTTACCTTTCTGAAATGTTCTGTTTCGACTTGTCCACTGAGCTTATCAGTGCAGCAACTCTACACAGCTTTGGCTTCAAGTTTTTTCCCTCTTTTTAAAAGAGAGTCATACCTACTCCTGGGATTCTGGGGGAAGATGAACGGAGAAGAGCATGTCCTTCAGTCTCCTAAACCAGATTAATAGCAAAATGTCAAGTCCACAGCAACATGCTCTCAATTTAGAAAGTGCTGGTGCTATAAAGAGAAAGCCATTGATTATTCATCCTTGGTTTAAAATACTCAAGAACAAGCACAAAAAAAGAAGAGTATCATATATATCCTCCAATGCCTTAATTAAGTTATGAGCTAGCTGTGGGGTTTGAATTAGGAACAACCGGGCAATGCAGAGTGCCACAACAGCAGCTTGTGGCAATATTTGCCTTTAACAGAGACATAAATCCTCTAGAGGATGTAGGTCCTGGCTTGCAGTGGTCTATCCTGATCCAGCTCTGTATTCACTGTTTCACAGAATGTACGTTTGGTGTGGGACTCAGTCTCTTCATTTGGACCTTCCTAGCAATATTCAAGCTAGCTTGTTAGTTAGCTAGCAAGCAAGGGTTAGTTAGCTTGCTAGCTAACTAACTCTTGCAATAACCTGGTGATACAGAAAAAAATGTTAATTTGGGATATAGGGAATTAAGGATAAATTCAGTGAGCTGTCCCATGTGACCTTGAGCATCAACAGCAGAACCATAATTATAACTCAGAGTATTCCTAACCTCTAACCCTGTGTTTTATTATACAACATTTATACCCGGGTTTGGTACATAAAGGCTTTGACAAGTTACATGGGAGAAAAGGGAGGGCCAGGAAGGGACACCGTTTCTGCACAAGTGACATTTTCAGATGAAACAGAACCTCCAGCAGCCTAGAACCCAGCTTGTCTTTTGTAATCAGTTCTTTTCAGAGCCTGCTGCTTGCAGTTCCAATCTCTTACAGCAGACCCCCTTCTTCTTTGGGAAAGAAAGGAGTCAGACTGACTTTTGCAAACCTGACTAATGGCAGATCAGGAGAGCGGGACTGGAGTCCCAAAGTCCCGGGCACTGAGAGTACAGCACAGTCGAGAGAGGGAGTAACGTCCTACTTACTGGTTCTCATCTGCACACCTTTCAGACAGGTGGCTAAATTGCTCAAAAACCAGACAAAACGAGGGGATATAAAGTAACAGACTAACTTCTTTAATAGAGTCCAATTCGATTAAACCAAAATCACTCTGTGAACCCCCGGGTTTATTCACACTAAACAAGTCAGTGGTACATAGAGTTTACCCAATAGCTCATCATGTTTATACTCTAGGTCCCCACATGAAAAAGGAGCACCAGTCAAGCAGACTGCAATGGTATTTTTTTCTTGCTTACTTTTTCTTTTTTTGCATAAAACTATTTCTTCCATAGACTTAAAACAATCAACTAGCCAAGTTATTAATTATGATACATCTAAAAAAAAATTAATACTAACCCTAATGTGACTGCTGCTTTAAGAGTGCTCTGTATATCGCCTTAGACCGGCTTTTCAGTAGCAATTCACTACAACAGGTCCTAAAATAATAATAATAATAGAGAATTAAAAAACTGACAGCAAGTTTAATGGTTAAAAGTAACAAAACCAACCTGTTCTGAATGGTGATTTTTCCTCAGCAGTTCAGTCCTGCTGTTGCACTCACAGCCTCACAAAAGGCAGAAGGGGGTTCAAATTCTCTCACCTTCTTAAAATCTTTCTGTTTATAAAAGGACAACTGCATTGTAACCTGCTAGGTACCATGGGGCTTTTTTTTCCCTTAATGTTTTATTCAGTCAATAATGGGTCTATTTTTAAAACTTACTGTGTTTTTCTCGGGTAGGTTAGGGAAGGTGGGGAATAGAGAGAGAACAAACGCATAAACTGTAGCTCCCCAGGTGTCCAGGTCACTAGGACTGTCTCTAATTTTCAGATCATTGCTGACAACTTTGTTTACTCTAGAAGATCATGATGGAACACCGACAGGCCCCTCAGAAGCTCTACTTGATGTCTTATACCACGTCTCCTATTCAAGGTCACAATCCTTTGTAATTCATCAGCTAAGAAGCCTCTTCTCCCTCTCATCAGTGAAGGTTTCAAGGTGGGGTGGGGCATGAGACAAAGAGGGAAGCTAAAATGAATAAAAAATTCTCAGCTATAGAACAAAATTTCATTATTTTCTCTTTCATTCACAGCATCTTATCATTATAGCCAGATTGCTGCTTTGCTCTGTTAAGGTCAAGCTGATCTCATTTCCCCTCTGGCCCCATTGGTTGCTGGTCGACCTCTGGATCCACTAGGGATGATGCAAATGCAGACTGGACGATCTGAAACCCAAAGGACTCCAGGAGAGACATGTTCTGTTGGGGTGAAAAGGGGGATCCCAGAGCAGGACCAAGGTCCCCCAGTGGGCCACCAAGGGCCCTGACGTGAACTTTCTGTATATGTTTGTTCAGATAAGACTTTGATCTGAAAAAGCTGCCACATTCGGGGCAAGGGTACTTCTTCTCTCCCTCCGTCTCCATTTTGTTTTTGCTGGCTGCCATGTCACAGGAGAAGGACCCGTTGGTGCTCTGCTTCTCGGGAGTCTTGAGGTCACTGGTGTCAGAGAGGTCTCCGTATGAATCAGAACTCTCAATCGGGTCCGAATGTGAACATTTCTGGCCTTCTATGGGGGAAAAAAAAAAGAAGAGAGAAAATTTCAGAACCTCACCTGCCCAAAACATTTAATTTAACAAGCGTTCAAATAGGTGATGTCAGTCATCACCTTCTTCATTACTGCCTATCATCAAAGAATGAAACACACAACATCACTATACCCCATGTTCTAAAGTTTTTGACCATAGTTTTTTTTTTTTTTTTTTTTTTTTTTTTTTTTTCCAAACAATACGTCTACTATCAGAGGATATCCAGATTTTTTATCCAAGGATTTATAAAGACAGTGAGCACATCCATGATGTGTCTTAGGTTTATAGCATATTTCTTTTAATTCCCAAAGGTGTCAAAGCTTACACCTTCGACGTTATAAAAACATACACCTGACAGTGAGCTTTTAGCAACAGAAGTCACTTCCCACACTTCTGAAATACAGCTAATACTTTCAAGGAGTATCTAGAAACTTACTAAACTATAACAGGCTGTGAAAAGGTGTGAAGAAGTATGGAAATATTTTACCCATTAATAGCAAAGCAGCAGGGAGCTACTGCAATCTCAGAGGTGCAACTGCATTAATCTGGCAGGGTTCCTTTTTACAAGTTAAGCACAATGCTGTTAAGAAGCAGACATCATAACCTAAAATTGTCCCATCCTTACGCATAGTAGCATGAAGTAGGAGACAGTTTAAAGACACTATTTTAAGTCATTTGGATACATATCCTGGCAAAGCCTTTGGTATGTTTGGAGTGTTCCCCATTCTTCTCTGACATTATGCCAAGAAAGTTTGTCCACACTTTTTGCTTAGCGCAGATGAATGAGCGTGGGAAACTCAGACATACTCCCTAAACAAGTCTCTGAATACAAATAAGCTCTATCAACTGTTAACTCTGAAAGACCAAAGAAGCACTTGGCACAGCCCAAAAGACCGATTTGCTCTGGACTCAGCATTACGAACCAAACAGGATACGCATGAAATCAATACACAACTGAGCTGGAGTAAATCTCTTGTTAAATCAGCACACCACCCAGAACCAAAGGGCTTGTACAGTAACTCTGTGAGGACTTCAATAGAATAGAAAACAAAAAACAACAATAAAAAAAACAGCTGGAACATCCTATTGGCATAATACAGAGAACAGACTTTATATAATCTAGACGGCTGTTCTCCTAGGAAGAGTAGCCATAATTTACTGGGACTAACATGGTTTAAAAGAATTTTCTGCTGTTTCAGCTCTACGCAGCTGATAGCTCACAATGAAGAAGCAAAACACAAGCTATCTTACATAGAGTAACACAGGTTTTTATATACTGTAAAGTTTAATTCTCTTCATTCTTACAAAAATAATTCTTACATTTGTTTTTGCAGGAAGCAATGGTAAATTAAAAAGAAAAAAAGAAGTAGCACTATTTTCATCCTCTACCTCTCCTCCCCATCACCAGCATTAAAAAGTGGATGTTCAACTACACATAGCTGTACATTTCCTCATGAATCTGAAGCTGGATATTGCTTTCACCATTCAAGAATCTTTATGAACTGCAGTTTGTGGCTCCCCCTTCCTTCACCACAAAGCTGAAACACGGTTTGACGCGATACTCAAGTGTATTGGACTAAATCACTGTCAAGGATCCACATCCCTCAGATAAATTTCAAGTACTGATCACTCTAGGATGAACGTCCAGATGAACTGATGTTGCCTTTTCCATTGCTGAAGTGAAAGAAGCTGCCAAGAACTCACGTATCCTCATCTCTCCCAGACTTGCCAGCCCTGGTATCTGAGCATAGACATCACATTCTATGTACAGGACCCTATGGGATTTCTCTGCATCTCCCTAAACTGCTTCCTTGTATTTCTCTGTCGTTCCTCCCTCCCCTTCCTCACACCCAGCCCAGCATCCCCCAACACAAAGTTCTGCACAGAGCAGCAAGGTGCAGAGCAGCAAGTCTCTTGCCTTTGATGCCATAGGTCCTGACGCAGTGGAACGCTGCTCCCCCATTCGGGATGGACTCCTGGTGCCTGGAGACCTGGGGAAGGGGAACACCGTGGTGGGTTTTAACATGGACCTTTAAGTAGGAGGCAGAGGAGAAACCTAAACAAGATAAAAGGAGATGAGATCCTGCCACCAGCAAAGACACACATCTGCCTTCCCTTTTCTTATCTTTCCCTTGCTCCTACTCTCTATCACAAAACAGCCATCATTCTAGTTTTCTAGATTTCTCATTATTGTTAGATTTCTCGTCTAGATGTCTCACTATCTCGTTATCTACAACATGTTCAAGTAAGATCCTGAGACACAATCAAGCAATGAATCCAATGCATACCCTTCATTAGATTTTTTTTTTTTTTTTTGGAAGTCACGATGAAAGAGTGACAGCCTCCCCGAGAAACAGATCCTACGTTAAAAAAAAAAAAAGTAGGTCACATGAAATGTTCAGGAAAAAAGGGTAAAAGAGACATGACACAAAGGGCACCCATGTCTCTTCACCAGTCTGTAGGGTGTTCGTTCGCCTTAATAAAAAATTCACTTCATCATATGACATATGTTCAGAGGTAGCTTAAAATGGTTTCTTTCAGGCTGTTAAGTTTTGTAGGAAACACTCCCTCTTAGCACTTTGTGTGCTTACCCTTAGCTCTCTAGCACTTACAATGAATGACTCTTGAAAGGCAGAAAGTTAAAACTATTGATTTGTTTTTAAGCTATATATATTTTTATAGACATTTTTGAAAAATATGAATTACTCCACTCTGATCATCCTCAGTTTCAAAAACCTTATAGAGTGGCTGCAGTCAACAAAACTCTGAAAAAACCTCTTTATGATGGAATTTCAAAACATCTATTAGCTCTGATTGGCAAAATCAAAACATGGAAATTAAGAACATATATTTCAAACCACAGATTTCAAAACACAACCATTTTTGACATTTGAGCATTTTTTTTTAAATCTTAGTTTACACTTTTTAAAGTCTCACAACTATGACCTTTTCCTGTAATGCAATAAATCCTCTCAAGTATATTTGGAATGTTTTAAAGACAGATTTCAAAAAGTTTTACAAATAGTACTAGAAGCATTTGGACCATAGGCACAAAGAGGACAAAGTTCTGAAGAACTTCTATACAGGCAAGCTACTGACAACATTCTTCATTTTAAAATTCTGAACAGAATATTATGGTATTTTCATGTTAGATTTCCCTTTAAGAACAGAGAACACATTACAAGTTCCACTGTCACAGACACAGAGCGTCCCCTATGCAGAGGTTCCCTTTCTGCATAGAGAAAAAATGAAACTCAGAAACATTACTACTACCGTGAGTAAGGTCTGTACACAAGGTCTGTACTGTATTTTAAACTAATACAGCATTTACAGCAGAGGCCCTTGCAAGACAACTTTCATAGCAATACTTGCAATAACTTGCTTTAAGAAAAGATATACTATTGCAAATAATATCTATATTACTGCAAAGGCACTTTTACAGTGAAACGACCACATTTAAATTCAGTTAGATGTAACAATTTATTAGGAAGGCTGCAAAACCAGTACTGGTACACCTTTCTAGGGTGGATTTTCTGATAGAAGACATTATTTTCAGGCACTGAATTTAATAATGAATGTAGCTTTACGCCAAACCTAGACAATCTCCCTCTGCAAAGACTTCTTTTAGAACCAAGGCCAGAGAGTCTTCAGAAGTTGTTAGAAATTGCAGAAGTTATTATGAATTGTATGTACAGGATGTACGGAACAAGGCAGAACTCTCAGCAACCTGCCAGGGGGGAAAAACCGTTGCTGAGATTAACAAAAAGGAACTGCTGTAGGCTCCTGAGTTGAAGATAAAAGTAGAGAAAATAAATTTAACAAGAAAACCACAATGCACGAAAGAAAAAAAAAAACCCTCAAAAAATACAAGGGAGTCAAATCACTTAGGCTAAGACATCTGGAGAACTAAGATAAGGATATTCCCATCTGAAACAATGCAAGATCTACCTTCAGACATGAAATGCCACCAGAAAATATATTTCTCTATTTAGCAAAATTCACTAGTTAAAGAACCCAAATTTTACTGGAGAGAAGGACATAATGTCTGGCTATAACAGCAATACTACCAACTGTTAGTTACTTCTCTTATTTCATACCAGTGTCTAATAAATACACATAAGATGAGCCTCTTCATGCATCAAAATCCCACTGCCAGCCATAAGAGGACTTCATACAAGACTAAGTGCTTTCCTATGCTACAAGTGACATGAGAAAATCTAGAGATTTGCAGAATCTCTGCAAAATGCTGTATTTTCTGACCTCTGCAATTCTATTTGCAAGTTACATTGCTTTATGTAATGAAAAGTGCAAGCAATGTGGGTTAGTCCTATTTTACGCACGTGATCGATGAACTTGGGAGTCATCAATTTCTATCAAAGCAGAAAGAGTGCCAGTTAATTCACGGGAAAGTGGTTAAAGAGAGATTTTTTATCTTTTTTTTTTTTTCCCCCTGAGACACTAATGATGGTTTATATTCATCAGGCCTTAATTATTAACGCCTGCCCTAGGAAGAGGTGGAAAGATTCTTAACAGTAATCCTCTATTTGTTAAATACCTTGAAAACAAAATCAGGCTAAGGATAGGGCTCAGGGAAAGGATAAAGCTATAGTATCTTTTTCATTTTTTAAATGAATGCATTTACTGCTTTATCCATACACACCTTACAATTTTGCAGAGTAAATATTCCTTAAAACCAGAGAAATATTAAAAGCATGCATAAAAAAAGGAAATTGCCTGCTTCCTATAAATGAGATATACTTGCTGACCTCTTGGTCTTAGCATAGGAGGGCAGAACTGCTGTCCTCTAACTTAGTGGTCTTTCTCACTGGGCACAGATACAAATCTCGAGATATATTTTGTGAAAATTGTTTTCCTAGCTGAAAAAATATAGAAAACTGATTACTTGGTATACTGAATGTTTTCTTTAAAAATATCCCTCCCTAGGGAAAAAAAAAAAAGTAAACAAAAAACACTGCACAGTATCCCTGATGGAAATAAACTTGTTTGCTTATATATTATTCTAAGCAGGAGCATTCTAAGTAAAAAATAACCTGCAAAAACTATCGCCTCACAGACAGTAATTTTTGAAGATTATATTGCCATTTCTAAAATAAACAGGTAAACAGATAAAATTAGCAAATGGGAAGATACATTATACAGCAAACCAATGGCTATTGCTTTCAGTCAAGATACTGATTTCCCTATACCCTAGATCCATTCAACCTTTAAGAGAGCAAGACACATTTCAGTAAATTCACGGAAACACCCTCAGTCTGACGGGATAAAGTTGTGGTTTCCAAGCCTGTGTTTCCCATTCTGACTTCAGCAGTGAGATATGTTGGATAGGTCCAGCTGCGTAAGAGACTTTTTCATCCATTTCAGAGTTTTTTTTTTTCATGTCAGCATGTAAACTTTTCTCTATAAGGCGTTTTCAGAAATATTTGCCTTCCTCCTTGTCAACTATACCCAACATCAGTCAAGTTCCAATTCAAAAATACACCATTAGCTGAGGGAAGAATAAAACAATTTCGTTGCACAAGCACAATAACCATGGCAGTCACAGCAGGGGGACTGCAGGGAGAATCACGTAGCTTCCGACCATCTCTGTGCCTATCATGAAGGTTTTAATCCAAATTTTTTCTAGCATGTTGCATATCTCCATACTCTACAATTTAAAGGATATTTAGAGCATGAACATTACATTTCTGTTTTAGAACAATGAATTATAAATCCTGACACCATGGATCATAAAGTTGTAATCAGAACTGACGGGATATAATACTGAGTTCATAACACGGTTGCTTCAAAAATCCAGTTTGCAACTTTCCTTTCTGCTAAATATTAACAGAGGCTAAATCTTTAACAACAACTTAATAGATTAATTATTGTTTAAAGTACTGACATGAACTGAAATTCACAGTAGCAGAGATTTTCACTGACAACATATAGGAAATACAGAAGCTGCGAGAAGAAAGCAGCTGCTTGTACTAACTGTACAACAGGTTCCCTATCCTTCTACACAGAAATACATTTAATTTACATTTCCATTGTACATTTCAGCCTGTAAAATGTGCATAATCTTTCTAAACATTACATTGTTCAAATGACAGATCTATCTGGCATGCTGGCTGAATTTCTGAAGAGCTGCAGTGACATCCAGTGGTACTCAAGGTAATATGCTTACAAACCCTGAAAACGTGACAATTCCCCTCAAATAATGAGCTCATGTTCAGAATCATGTTCAACGAAAGAAGAACAAGACAGGATTTCGATCTTGGATAGGGTCTTCTGTCTTGTTACCACAAAAAGAACGGGGATAAGTTTAAGCAGACTTTCAGAATATGAGCCAGGCTTCATTTTGTACCATCTACCTGGAGTCTCGGAATCAGAAGATTTTCAAGCCAGATGTCATTTCCACAAGAACTGTAAATACCACTGTCAGAATGTAACAGATGGTTTAACTACTGGAAAATGTCTCCTTTACAATGTAATGCCTCACATTGCTCATCATCTCTTAATCACCCAAAAGCTCCATTGCTATACAGTCCTCACATATATACACAACACCTACACTTTCTCTAAAGCTTTTACCTCTCTCCAATTAGAAAAGACAACATATGTGATTCAAAATTCATCATCATCAGGTACTCCAGTATGTCTGTGTGAGCCAAAGACATACTTTGAAGTTGTATATTCATTATTCAAAAAGGTAAAATAAAGTCTTTTTTTTCTGAAATTTGTCCAGCGTACATTACATCGCACAATGCTTAAAACTACAAGTCTTTCTCCCATTTGAGAGTATCACAAACAGATGCAAAAGCTCCCAAAACTGTATTCATATAAATACAATAACGTTACTCATGCTCTTCTTTACAAGATTTGTTTTAGAAATGTAAGTTAGTACAAAGCCATTTCTTGGATTAAGAGGGAGGGGCAGCTTGACTCTGCTGCACCAGGAGGTTAAGCAAGACTGATAACATCATGTAGCTCTTCGACCTACAGATTATCAGTTTCAACTCCATGTGTATTTAAGAGTCTTCTCCCAAGCTGAATGCAGTTTTCAGTTCCAAACAGGTATTGGAAGAAAGATGTATGGTGAATGGTGGCAAAGCAACATAAGGTAGTTGCTTTGCGGGGATTTTACAGTTTGGCATACAAAATTCTTCAATCTGTCTAAAAATAATTTGCTTCACATTTAAATAGAATTTATTCAGGTAGTGTTACCCATGTAAAACAGCCAGATCTCTGACTTCACCAGTTTCAAACTAAATATTCAGTAAGGAAACAAAGACAGCATATGCGCATGTGTGCAACCTCCTCCTGCTGCAGACAGCATCATGCAGCGGCACAGCTGTCCTCAACTGTTGCCCCATCCCACTGAAATAAAGAAACAGTTTCTTCGTTACCTCTGTTACAGATAGTGCAGAAATTGCTTGGTCCTTCACTATGTTTCTTCAAATGATCTGCCATATATGCTGCCCTCAAGTACTTCCCGCACACCTGGCAGGGAACTTTGTCTTCATGACATGCTAGGTGTGAGCGCAGTCGGTCACGAGTGGCAAAGGAAGCGTTACAGGTCTGCGGGTACAATGAGAACCATGTGACTTATTGACTCTGCTAAAACACTGATATTGCTGAAGCTATTTAATATTCTTAAGAGTATCTCAGACCCTGTGCAATTAAACAAATTATGTGATGCATGAGCCATTTCCTCCTCAAATAAAAATATCAGATCACCAACACACTAGACAAGATGTGATGTTACTACTCAAAAAGAATTAAGAAGGCAAGGAAACAGTTCTAATATACTACAGTCTGTAAAATTTAAAACAAAACAAATTCGTAAAGCTTCAATTCCTCACTGAGGATGAAGATATTAAAACTTTAAGTAATATTCAATCACAGGAACAGCACAAACCACTCTGGTTACTGTCAATTCTGCCATTTCACTGAGGCATGACCATTACTTTAAACAGCTCAAAATGACCTCTCTGTCACCTTCCTAAATGTTACTCTTTGATTTGATCAGTCTGGCTTCATTGCCCTGGATCTCCCCTTCAGACTACCACAACACATAAATGAAGCATCAGAGAATTGGCTGGGATGAGAAGATGACAAAAGACACTATAAAAGAGCCATCCTGGTATCCACAGTGACAGGGCAGACAAAAGTTAAGTGCAGAAGTGAAGTCTCAGAAGGGAGCAGATATCAAAATAACTGCATGACACTGTAGTTCGTTTATAACTTACCCCGATCAAGGTACTGCATTCCATTTACTACCGTGAAACAAGGCTGATTCGGCATAAGATAATATTGGTTCTACTTGCTTACTCCCCAGAGGAAAGTTGTATGATAGACAGGGAGGGTTCTTTCCCATTATTATAGCCATCAGCAGGTATGCAGAGCATGTATATGGCCAACTAAACTGGCCTGCCAATTCTGAAAGACTTGCTATGTGTGCATGTGTGCCAATTCGGAAAGGCTTGCCATATTTCACATGTGCATAAAAGCAATAAATCATCAGCAATACAATGTGTAAGTAATTAAAGGTATAGTCTGGAGCCCTCACAAGTGCAGGAATCAAAACAAAAGCGACATACGTTAGAATGACCACAGCAAGTGGGCAACAGTGACATTCAAGAGTCTACAGCATCTGCTTTAGAATGGAGTATCCCTAGAAAAATGCATTTCAATATGTGCAACCACAGTCCCCTAAGAGATCATATGGGAATATTAACTGACAGGGAAACTGGATATATTCCATCTTTTTAAGGACCAATGCATAATTGAACAAGACACCTGCTTCACCATAGGTTTGTAAAGTAACAACTACTAAAATTACAAAAAAGTAAATTAGAATCAGTTGACAGTACAGAATAGAATAACCCATGTGATTTTATGATTTATACCAAAGGCAACTGGAAAGTATCTACCGATTTCAACAGGCTGTAGACTCTACTTGTTCAATCCCAGGAGATGCTGAAGTACAGTAAGCTCCTACAGAACTGCGGATACGCTGCAGCAGGCCAAAGACTTAGCACCTTACAGGATTAGGACTTAATATACCTAAAAAGACAACAGTATAATAACCTGGATTTCTGTGGTACACAGAGTGGAACTAAGCTCACCGGGCAAATATTCTGGAGTCACTAGTGGTGAAGAATCAAACCTTTGAACGTGAAAGATTTCTTTGCAGTCCAAATCTCAGGACACAGTGCTGAGCAAAACAGGTGCAGTTTTCCTTTATTAAAATGTTTTTAGAAGTAAACACTCATTTTAGACAGGATTTCAGGACTGACACCAGTCAATCTGCTGAGTATCAGCGAGAGTGCATTACTAGACAAGGGTGACAGCCAAAAGGTCCATTAATTAGAATTCTAATACTGAGCCACAGTAAGCATCCATAAAAAAAAGCATTGGAAGGGCATCAGTTTATGAAGCAGACCAGAGACAAACCACATAAATACAGGGATGCCAGAAGTAAAAACAGATCCGTCCCATATTGAACTGAACAAGTGGAAAGCTTGAGGAAAGGCAATACAAACATTTCTGTGTTTAATTTCTCAGCCTTCTACTAGGTTTGGCAAAGTTCATCTTTGGATAAACTATATAATTAAATATAACTGTAGAGAAGCTTAAATAAAGTCCAGTGGAGAAAGCAAGAACCAGTTTAGCTGAATTGTAACAATGGGAGACAGGACTAGGTTTAAAGAAAGCCCCAAAGTTAATATTCAAATAGTTAATATTTGTAAAAGGTATAGAAAAAAAAAAAGTAAAAAGTTTTATTTTATGAAAGATATAAGTGCTAAATGAGTGCTAATATTTATCATTAATTGTTAATAATAGAAGAATACTCCAGTGCTTTCCTATCAAACATTGCATAGGTATATAAATAGATATAAAGAATATATATAAAGCTTAAAAAAAAAAAAACATTGTTTAAGAAATACCTCTTGAAGTTTCAACTTTTCTATGGTTGTGGATGTCTCTGAGCTTATTCCATGGTGGCTGCCATTTTCCTGCTAATAGGCAGGAAGTAAGAGAAATTAGGACAGGAAGAAACTCAAATTGCATTGAAATCAATGGGAAAAGCACTGGACTTTGGATGCCAATTTTAGGTTTATTTAAATAGTTTTAATTAATTTTTAAGTATTTTTGTAATTTAACCTGCATCTTTTTCTTTTAATTGAAATTGCCAGATGAACCACCTGCCTCTTGTCACTGGGAGGGAATGAATTTCCTTTTTCTCCCACTTCCCTCTTCCATCCACAGGTTTTCATACCACCTCTTCCTCCCAAACTGCAGTCTAATGTTCACCTCATTCCCACTCTGAAGCTGGCATCCAGCCTCACCCCTTCCCAAGGCAAGTCACCAAACTCAACTATTCCCTTATGGCTATCAAGCTGACTTACCCCTTCTCTTACATCAAGAACTCAGCTGTCAAATTTAAAATAAAAACTCAAATCACTAGCACACTAATCTGAGAGAGAAGCATCCAGAGTTCCACTTGATGTCTTGTCTGGGCACCAAAGCAGCTTCTGGGATCCCATTTCTCAGTGCCTTGGCTCTGCTGGAGGCCTTCCTTTCTCATTCTGAGTGAGCTTTATGAGGAGCAAAAATGTTGGAATCGGGTCTTTGTCTGGCACCCAATGCCACAGGTGCTGAATCTTAGGCTAGGTCTTTAAAATATCTGCGATGCTCAGCTTTTATTTTAGGGGGATTATCAGAAGGAGAATGTTAGCAATTTACACATCAGTTTTCAGATTTGAAAGTTTTCAGTGTAAAAGCATCCTTTCTGTGGTGTGTACTGTACATATGAGAACTGTGCATATTAAAGAAGTTTTTGTAAGCCTGACAGGACATTGTGAAGGAGTTTTTTTCAAAGACATGCAGCAGGTCTTTAACAGGCTTTCAACACTCTGTTTGATTTGAATGAAAAGTTAACCTTGCAAGGGTGGGCAATGAAAACGACAAGCAAATCAAACCTGAAAAGGCAACTTCAACTCTGTCCTCATGCTTATAACCTACAGGCTATAGCTCTATAATGAAATGAATGGTGCCTATAACATTACGATACTTTGAACAACAAAACAAAATATAGAAGAGTGTTCTCAGAATACTATCACAAAATACATGCACGCAAGGAAATAGGGTTGTGTTTGGCTATACAATTCCCATTTTTCCTGACAGTTTTGAATGTATCCTCTGATTCATGCTTACAAAGTACATATATTTAAAGCTCTTAAAATAATTAAAAACAAATCTTTAAAACATAAAGCAGGCAAAGGAGAATTTGAGGTTCTATAATCATTTTTGTACCTGCACACATGCTTATGGGCAAATTTCTTAAAAATCTATAGTCATCTACAGTTCATCTACTTGTTATCCTCAAATTGAGAGGTAGTAGCTGTGAGATTTTTCAATATAAATTAATTTATAGCATTAAATTGTCTTAGGAAGCTCTTAGGAAGCTCTTAGGAAGCTGATGAATAAATATGAAGGCTCAATAGTCTAATTTTCAAAGATGCTGAGGTTCCACAAATCTTCTTGAGCTCAACAGAAACCTTCAGGCAACTCAGTATGTATAAAAACTCATTAGTCACATAAAGTTGTAAAAACATTCCAAAACTCTCACAGTTCAGAGGAAACATAGCAAAAGTTGTCAAGAGACAGAAAAAAAAATGTAGATTAGGAGGCAGCAGTCAAGCAGGATGAACTACGTTCATCAAATATCCTGAGCAATTTTAAAACAGAGAAAATAAATCTCCAACCTTTATTATCTTCCAAGAAAATGGAAGGTATTTTGCTTCAATTTTCTTAAAATAAATAAATAAATAAATAAATAAAAATCTTCCTTCAGAGACCAAGCACAGATATTATTAGTCCAGCCAATTTTTGAAGTTTATCCTACCATGCGAAAACAGCAGGTGAAAATGGAAGCAGGTTTTCAAATTTAGTTCTAATTACACTTCCAAGTACCTCTTAAATCCCTCTACAAATGAATTACAGAAGACCTTTCTTGATATGTTCTTTCAAATCCTGATGAATACTTTATTAGCTGTAAAAAACCTACACCCAACATTATGACATCATATTACAAAGTGAACCACCTTGAGGTTATCTATATTCTCATTGGGATTTAAAAAAAAAAAGCTTCCAATTTTCCTCAGTGCAATGAAGGCTATGTGATAAAAAAAGAGCATCTTGGCAAGTGATGATTATAAGTTTTATTTGAAGTTACTCTTAAAAAAAAAAAAATCAGTATTGAAACATCCTCCTGGTTACCACTGCAAATCCAAAGGAAAAAATGGGGTATCATTTGTGACAATGACTCAAAGCCTAGGGTTGAATTGGCAGGGTAAGAGATCCAGGGAGAAGACTGGGACAGAGCAGCAGGGAAGAACATCTGGCAGAAGAGTGGGAAGCAGAAGGACCAAAGCATCAGATGACACAGGAGGCTAGCAGGGCTGGGGGGAGGGATGTATGTAACTGTCATTGTTGAATACTATTGTTTACAAATATTTATTCCAATTCACACATTCATTTTAAATTGATATTTGAATATTCTCTTCACATTTATAAATCTAATGCCTTTAAAAACAAACAAACAAACAATCTAACCACCCCCAGCTCCTACCTGACACTTGTGAGGTCTCTCTGAGGTATGCACCTGTTTGATGTGTCCATTCAAGTGGTCTGGCCTTAAAAAAAGTAGACATATACACACTTAAATATTAAAATCAGAATTTACTATTTTAAACAACAACAACAACTACAAAAAGGTCCCTGCAGTGGAGATATTAAAAAATCATCAATCAATTTAAGCTTATCAAGAACCAGATCAACAACAGTGTCCTCTACATTGATAAGAACTCTTACACCATTTTCACAATCAGTGAAGCTTACTTTGATGAAGAGATGACTATATAGCTGCAGATTTTCCTGGTGGGAGTTTCTCCTAGTGGGAAGAAAGCTTTTCCTTGTATGAGACCAAAACTGCTTGGAAACAAGTTCCCCACCTTCTCCTCCCCCAGCTTTCCAGCTGCACCAATGAGAGGACGCGGGACGCTCTGCGCACAGAAAAGACACTGAACTCTGCAGTCTGGCTGCTAAACCTGATGCTCCAGCATGGGTCTGGAGCTGGGCAACTGGAAACACTGGTTGGGGGTCCTCCGAGGTACTTCAGACCTAGCAGCCTCCCTGTTTCTGAATGAACTAACGCCTTTGAAAATCAGATCCCACACTCTTTCTTTTTGCTCATTTCCATGCAACACTGAGCACTGAAACTCAAGAAAGATTCGCTTCTTCAATTCTATGCAGATGCATAGAAGTTTCCGTCTTTTACTTTCATAGCACCGCTTGTGCCTGCACGGTGTAACTCACTGAGAAAAAGGAGATCTCAAGACCTTTCACTTTCCCTTGTTCATAGAAATCTTTCATACTGCAACAGCAGAAATCTCTGTACATGACTAAAAATGACAATAGTTGGCAGATGATCTCAGATACACTTTAATTAGAAAAACACTTTTACTTCTAGGATTTTAGCTTTCTAGGTAATATTTCCAGTCTATGATGACCTTCCATTCCTAAATCTGCAGTTCTTAAAAAAAGTGTTAAGAATAAAAAGTATAAAAAAAGTATTAAGAATAAAAGTGTTAATTCTAACTTCTAGAAGACTTCTGATTGATATTGATTGATATTTCCTATCTTGATTCTTTCCCTCCTGCTAGAGAAAATCTACTGCTGCTACAGAAGTAACATGGAGCATGCGCATCCCCTTTAGCCCCCACTACTTCTAGTCTTCAAGTTAGCATCAAATTTCCCCAGAAAGTTTCAAACTCATTAACTCAGACTGTCAGATACTACTAAAACAGCTCTACTTAATGAACTCTCACACAAAAAAAAAAAAAGGCAAGAAAAAATCAGTAACATTAAATGCACAGTTCTTATGTAGAAACAAGATCCCCTTGAGAAGAAGGCAAACCCAGAGGACATAAAGACCATGTATTAGAAGATATGTGACGCTGCAGCCTTTGACATCTCTTATTTCACATTTGGGTGATTAAAACATTACGAACCAAACCAAATGAAGTTAAAAAAAAATGTAAAATGGATACAAGAAAAATGGTGATTTTGAGATGCATTAATATTTTGCACTTCAACAGCACCTTCAAACTACGTAGAAATCCAAAGTCTCAAGACACTTAGGTGAGGTAGGTAATTATCTCAATACCCATTTCACAGGAGAGTCATTTGAGGGAGCAACTAACTGATTTGCCCAAGGCCAGGCGTACAGCAATGCTGGGACAGAGCTTAGAAACAGTACCCAGAGCCAAGCAACTCCCAGTTCTATGTCTTAATTACTTCTAAATCCTTCCAAGAGACTGCAGAATAACCTCCCAATGGAAATGACGGAAGCCGCCTTTCTTCAGAAGCTTTAAATTGCAACGGTTAAACTAACCTAAGTACAGACTATTTCCACTTCCCAAAGGATCTCACAGGAAACATCTCAGGTCGTTGCTGGCATCTATGACTTTTGAGTTGCCTCTTACCTGGAGAAGCCTTTTCCACAGCTCTGACAGATGTAGGGCTTTCCCACTGAGCCATCATGGGATCGAACGTGGTAGGACATCCTGTCTTTCCGCTTGAACCGTAACCCACACACGGGACAAGAGTATGGCTTCTCACCAGAGTGCGACAGCTTGTGCCGATTCAGGTGGTACACGTCCCGAAAAATCTTGCCACAGATCTCACAGGCCACCTGTTTCCTTGTCCTGCTTCTTTTTCGGGGTGCATCTGGGTCATCCTGACCAGGGACACCATTCTCACCCAGTCTCGGGGGCGGGATGTCTATGTAGCCCAGCTGCAAGCTTGTCACCCCATGCTGAGCCTCGTGCTGACGAAGACGATTAGCATCTGTAAACACTTTCCCACAGAGGCCGCAAGGCAGGATACCTGCCTCTCGCAGGCCCCCCGGGGTACCAAACATCATGGAGTCCAAGAGATTGGCCTTACGAGGACGTCCTCTGCCCCTCTTGGTGCTCAAAGCGGGGGTGTTGGCAGCGACATTCTGGAAGGGCGAGGCCAGCAGCGGTGGGGACAGGGGTCCTGCCACCATGGGCAAGCGGTCGACACCCTGGAGAACGGGCAGGGAGGACTGTGCGGCGGAGAGCGCAGCCCGCGTGGCCTCATCTTCGGGCATTCCAGCAATGCCGTTGCCGTTGGGCGCCAAACTGGCGCCATTGGTCATGTCGAGCGGGAAGCCAAGGTCGGTGGCGCCTGGGCGGAACAGCATGATGTCAGGGCGTGTGGGAGGCACGAGGATCTGCACGTTGGACTGCTTGATGACCTCCTGGCAGATGTCGATCACGGAACGCATCAGCAGGAACTTTGCCGCCGTCATGAGCTCGGGGAAGCTCTCCAGCCGCACCACGATGCGCGATGTGTAGGCGAAGTCCAGGATGTCGCCGAAGACCTTGGAGCTGATGGTGTGCATCTCCAGCTCCCGCCCGCCGCCGCCAGTGCTGGCCGCCGCTGCTCCACCGGCCGCCGCCGCCTCTGCTGCCCCGGCCTCCGTGCCACCACCGGCGGCCCCGTCACCCAGCTGTGCGCTGAACACCGACTCGAAGTACTCGCTGCAGGCGGCCAGCACGGCGCGGTGTGCTGGGAAGCTCTCGTCGCCCACGCGCAGCAGCACGTCGCAGAAGCGGCCGCCGTTCTTGCGCTGCTGGTTGAGGCTGTGCAGCATGTCGGCGCTGTGCCGGCTCACCTGGTACGTGTAGCAGCCGGCCGAGGGGCCGCAGGCGGCGGCCTCGCTCACCCGCTCCATGGGGCCGCGCCGCGGCGCCGGCGCCCGCAGGGGGCGCGCGCTCTCCGCCCGCGCGACGCC